TCAAGGATATTTTACAATAATGTTAATATGCCGTCAATTTATAGTACTTGTTCCGCTGCACAGAAAAGCTAAGCGATGAACAGTACACGATTTGACCTACATGTGTGTGAATATGCAAAAGTACATCAATTAACGATACCCATGTTGGCATAAACAATTTTCAGGGGGAATATTTTATAAAAGCGTTTATAAGGATTTTAAAATATATTTTTCTTTACGTTATTGTATTCAGCCTGAATTCTTGCAATTATATCTCTGGAAATATAACCTATAGTTCACTCGAAGAATAATATTTTTCAAAATCAAAATCAAATTTCAATTATGAAAAGTTCTTTTGCCTTTTTTTTCTCTAAATTCCAGTCAGTAATAATGTGTTTAATCTTCCGTACCAATACTGAATTCTCAAAAAAAAAACTTAACTAGGATAAGCTGCTACTCCTTGTACCTCATTGACAATATATAGCTATCTTATCTTGAAAACCATGTTTTCCAAGAATTTTTTGGAATGAAAATGAATGGACACTGATGAGCTTATTTATCAGCGCACCTGTTTTTATCTGAATTTAACGTAAATTGTATTTTATTGTTGGTTCGACATGTATTACGCTGTGAGTTTCGTTATCATTTGTAATGCTGCTTTGTTTTTATACAGTATCGTCGACTTGATCGATACATTGGGTGTGACAGGTCAATAGGGGATGATTACTTCTCCAAGGCATATGATCCTACCTATAGAATTTGCCGGGCTTCATGTTTTATACATTTTTAACATACATGTGTTTGTATTATTTATATATTTGTTTAGATCAGTTATACTATTCATCATTGTGTTAGATTGTGGGAAAAGTAATACATCATGTACTAAAAATAATCTCTATCCCGATCATGAATACTTTTATAATTACAAAATAAAGTCGATATTTCTAGTGCGCACCTTAACTGTACGCATCCAGAAAGCATATATATCTTCATATCTGCTGTGAAAGCCTTTGGACTTTCGGAGGATTCGATCGCATGCATGTTAAACCAATGAGTCGATTCGAAATTAGCAAGTTTATTCATTGCGAAATATATACACACAGTAAACCAAATATTTTTCGATTAGTGCACCTTTACACTTTATAAAAAAATTGTCTTTTATACTTCAACATATTTATATAACTCTTTGCTTTAAATATGTTTACTTTATCATTATATTCTTCGCAACGGCAAAATTATTGAAGAAAACATACGTGGCCTAAAAACGCAGCATTATTTTGATTGTTTGTAAATTGGTCAAAATTATCTCCAATAGTACTGCAATTAACCGACATTGTCGGGTTTATGTGTGATTTGCACCAGTCTGTCATTTCATAAAATTCAGAAGAGTTTGGGTCAATTTATTTGTTTTTTTGATTTTATTCATTCATTTAGACGATAGCACTTGCCAGTGTATATTGATTCCTGTCATTTACACTTATATATGTTACATATGACCTTTGAACAGTAAAGTATCTTTTTCATATCAGCAATTACTGCAACAAGGGTCCCCCCATTTCTGTTTGATTTTTTTCTTTTTAAGCTATGTACAAATGTACATACTGAAAACTTACTTGACACAAAACTCTTAAAAATTTAATTTAAATATTCGAGTATTATGACTCATTGTCATTACATTTTAAAATCTTAATCGATGAATCATGAACATGTACATAGCAGGCGACACATACATTCCTCTAGAAATATTTTAATCAACGAGAATATAATACACTGTACTATCGCTTCACAATCATTTTTTTACAAACGTTACTCAGCTTAATCCTTATCCACACAGCATTCTAAACTGATTTTTCATAACTCTTTATTTAATGCTACTTATTAACACAGTCATGTAAAAAATTGAAATATAGACATGAATTAAGTAGAAAATGGTATATGCTAAATTTTATTTTTAAGTAAAAATACAGTTGTATTTACATTGTCATCACGTCGTATCTTTTTAAAAGATCCAAGGCAATGGCCGAACATCCGGAGCTTAATTTTTTATCGTTCATCATTTCGTAAAAAAAATCTAAGGATTTAATCTCGATGGTTTTATGTTTTCCGTGGTAGAGCAGCTTCCTTACCCTCTAATTGCACAAAAAAGCATGCCTTGAAAATAAAAAAAATATTTGCCTGTCTGTTATATTGTTATTTGGTAGGAAAAATAATTTTAAACCTTATTTGATTGAAAAAAATAATGTAATTTTTCAATCTTTTTAGTACTGTCATGTTAAATTTTGAATATAGGAAGTATGGTCAAAACAGCTATCCAATGTAAAAAAGATTATAATGTAGAATTTAAAACAGTTATCTATATCTGAATTAATTAATTAATCAATTACAAAATTAATATCAACGCAATCCATCTTCTTCCTCCTTTCTTCATAAAAAGCTTCATTTGAACTCATTCCTTTGAAGTTAATGTTGAGGTAACGGTCCCTTCTATAGGCGTAGTCTCAGCTTATAAACTCAAATACACACATCTCAAAATGGCAAGTCAAGATGAAATTTATGATGAATCGGATATTAAGGACCAGGAGATCGGGATGTCTGCTAGGCTGGGCAATCCCGAGATCCCGGATGTCCAGGAGCCCGAGCCCGACCCGCCGCAACCACGAATTCGGCAATTCTACACTGCCACCCGGGTTTTTAATATATTACTCATAGTTGGCAGTTTACTTTCTGGATGGATTTCGTATGGATTAATGCCAGTTGGGGCAAGTATACATATATCCTAAAGTTATCCAACATGAAAATATTTGTTCTCTTTTAACAATGGGTTGCTTTTTAATATGGGTGCCTGTGAGAACAAAGAAAAGGGGTAGTTCAACAAAATCTTTTTCTCTTCAAAAGTTTGAATGTCTTATATGTCTTTCATACATTTACAAAGGCCAATATTTGCCAAAAAGAGAGGGAAGAATTATTTATATATCATATAGAGCCCTCGGGTTTAAAATTACTGGCCATTTGCAGAGGAATATTCAAATTATTCTTTAAGAAATATCAATTTCAAATAGTTACAATTTATTGAATATGGTATTTTACTGAGCTATTGTATTACGAAAAAAAATGACAAAGTTATTTTGATCGCAAATGACAAAAAAAAAATAATTTTCCACAAATGAACAAATCTTTGCAATCATATGTATACAAAAATAAGAAATACTCTAGTTATGAATTTTTAAATTTGATTTTGTAGAAGTTTCTAAACAAAGAATGCGATACAAATTTAGAAGTATGGAAGAAGAGATTCATGATCCTGCAAGTAATCGGCACACTTATAGCTCTCGCTCAATTCGTTAACATAGCCTATCAACTGAAAGCGAACGGGTTCGATATGTACAAACTTGAAGAACCATTGAATTATGTGGACGGCCGATCGGAAGTACTGTTTGTTCTCCTTTTGGTTTTCTTGCCTCAAATGTCCATTATGACGGAATTGGATTCCAGATGTCGATTAAATACAACCTCTACTGATGCCCAGTATTGCGGCGATACTGCCAACGTACCACGACCTGAAGCGTACGAGAAAATCCGTGATTCTGCTGACGTTAATGCACGAATAGCATACGCAATACTAGGATTCCTCAGCATTCACTTCCGGTTTATTTTCAGTAGAGCTTTGCCGAGATTTGGCAAAAAAGGAGTGACGGATGATTTTAAAGCTTACAAGTTGAAGAAAACCATGCTTTTAAAAATAATTCTCTTTCTAGACAAAAAGATTCCACGCATCCTTAAGTTCGTGGGACTGGATTTCATTTGCATATGCCGAAAGTTAGTATTATACATATGTAGCAGTAAGAGTATATAAGCTTTAAGAACAGATTTAAATGGTTGACATATTCTTTTAACAAATAAGAATTAAGATAATAATTATGTTCAATTTAACAAACAATTTTAATGAAAGAAGTTGCAAAGTCTGGCATATTATCGAAGTCGTGTCAAATCCAGTTTTGCGATGTACACCAAAACTCAGCCGGAAATATAGCACTTTCTTGTTAAGTAGTTGAATCTAATTTGTCGAGAAACATTTGTTAAAAAACACTATAACATTGTTCTCGCTGAATAAAGAAGCCATGCCTTCCATTGTAACAACAGTCAATATTGCTTAACAACGGGGTTAATCCAAAAAATAGTGACTGCACAGAATTTATGCGCGCACCACGGTTCATTCTACCTATTCCCACTTTTTGAAAATCATGTAGAAAAATGTAAGATTTTATGTGGGAATAGGTGGAATTTTGTGTAAACAAATAATTGACTATGTTCTTAAATTTAGGTATTAAGTTGCTTTTTTTTTGTAAGATTTTTTTATTATTTCAAAAATCCGAAATAAATAATATTTTCTCATAGATGCATTTATTATTTTCTGTCTTAAAATGTACAAAATACAGCTAAATCTAAACATCTATTGTTATTTGCAAGTGGGAATAGGTGGAATTGAGATTTTTAAAAAGTGGGAATACATGTAGCTAGAAGACACCCGCACCACGACTCACAGTTAAAACATTCAGTATGATATTTAAAAAAAAATACTGCGTGTAGTTGAGTGTAACATTGAAAATTTGCACCCCAAAAAAAACATTGTCAACCTCAGCTGCGCCTCGGGCTAGGTTGACAATGATTTTGTTGGTGTGAAAATTTTCAATTATGTCACTCTCAACTATATGTAATATTTATTATACTATCATCTAAGTACCCATGTATATTTTTTTACTCATTGAATTGTATGACCTCTATAAGAATAATATAACACAATTCATTAAATTTCTCCACAACCAAACATTCCACATAATTGTTGTAATAGTCCCCCTGATATTTCGAAAATTTGGCTATTTATATAACATTTTGGTTTTAACGATAATTCGGTGCACATGCGTCTGTCGTCTACGAGAGTACTTGCGTCCTAGAGTAAGGATTCTTTATTCTAGCTTTTTTTTTTTTGCAAAAAAGAACGGGGTAAGAATTTGGAAGAATCAACAGGATCCGAGGCACTTTTTTGTGCCCAATAAATACATGTATAGAGTTTTTTTAATGGGTGGCACTGTAGCTCTCCGGTCTGAGCCGTATAAGTAGAATTTTTAGCGAGGATTTAATTTTTCATGGTTTAGCAATACCTCGCTAAGATTAATTTTCAATTACGTGAGGATTTATAATGTGCATTTTAAAATCGCCGGCACAGGCTAAAAATAAAAAAGTTTTTAACTGACAAACGTAAATTTGCGTTCGCTAAAATTTCACAATAAGGCAGTAGAGTACGTCATTACAGTTAACTCCTATATGAAATATTTATTATGGGACATATCCTTCTCTTTGTTTGTCAGTTAAAACGAGAACATTGTCCGTCACTTTAAAATAGTTCGTGATAAGATTTTCTTATACCGTATAAGTAGAATTTTTAGCGAGGATTTAATTTTGGCGTTATTAGCGAGGGTGCCAAGATCGCTAAAATTTAATATCGCTACTTATTAATATCAGTTTATTTGTAATAGGTTCTTTAATGCGCTTTTTAAAAATCGCTAAAATTACATCTATGCAATATAAAATAAATTACGTCTAAATTTGCTTTGTCTGTTTGTCTAAAATTTACATTTTAAAATAGTTCTTGGTATCAGTATTTCTATTTTTATCATAATGCGTTTCGTTGGATACCGACATTTTTTAAATTTGGCGATAAACTCGGATGTTGGTCTCGATCTTTTGGCAAAATCTTACCAAATGGTTGATGCAAGTTCTTTTATATTTCCCAGTTGACTTCTTTCGATGACTCTTTTTGGATATCAACTTTTATGACCTCATAACCTTAATCTTTGGTTTATGTTTAAAGAATTCTTCCAGATGAACTGCCATACCCGGGGGGGGGGGGACATAAAAACAGAGCATAATCCCTGCAAATTATGACGGATGCGTTTTTTTTAGGAATTTTAAAACTTCAGACTTTTTTAAATAAAAGTACCAGTATATTGTTGACTGGTGAGAAAATCGTTGAATGTTTTCAATTTGAATTTTAAAAAAAAATCATTAAAACAGCTGGTACATGTAGACTGTTTCCTTGTTGTTCAAGACAAAATGACACAATTTAAGTTAAATTGTTATTTTACTTGTATATCTTCTAGTTTTGATGTACATGTTTGATAAAAGTCTATGTTTCTGTTCAGCTTGATTCTTAGATACGCAATATACACATTTTTATAAAACTTTTTTTCCTTTTTTTTCCCTTATGTAATATTACCTAATGGAAATTTATCATTAAAATCTTATTTTATTTTGATTTATCTTTTTTAACAGAGCATGTGTTACATGTACTTAGCTGATTTTTTTAGCTAGCTGAAAGCTAGAGTGCTGTAATTTTACAGTACGGCAGCCGACAACGTCCATTAACGCTTTTAATTTTTCTAGGGGGATACGTACTTAAACAGAGCCTCTAAAAAGCGACCACACCTTTTACCAAAACGTCCATGGAAGATCTATTTTTCTTAAATTTCTTATGCCACTGGAAAACCAGCAACTAAATGCATTTTTCCCAAGCCTATGTCATTAATATACGCGTTTAAGATAGAGTGATCCCGGATTTTCACAAAACGTGTGATTTGACCGAAATTTGACGTTATCTAACAACTTAAAGATGAACAATAAATCATCAACTTATAAACTAAATATCCAGTAAAATCAGTAAATCATTCACACGAAGGTTTATAAAAGATCAAGCAATCGTATAATGACATAATATTCGATTTATATACCACATAGGGCGGTTTAATTCTTATTTCACGTATTAAGAATTAAAATGATAATAAACGCGTTAATGTCTCCCCCGTATTTCCAAACAACCGTTTCTATGGCAACTGCCATAAAGTTACTATCCAAGATATTTAAAATGTTTTTTAATTTAAAATATTCATCAAGTGTCTATTACTTCATTTGTAATTTTCAACCAATTCCATTGAAAAATAAATAAAATATGAAGAAATTCCACGAACTTTTGGATCAACCCTCGTATTTATGCGGAATAATAAGATCTTCAAGATGATATCAAGGAACTAGTGCTGACTCATCACATAAGGGGCTGAGAGGGGCCAAAATTCTTTCATTGATAACTCCTTAGCAGTCAATATTTTGTTATACATTTATGAAGCAGAATTGTTTACATTAAGAATCTACAGCTATATATTATAATCTGAATGTCGTATAAAACATAATTAGGGGCCACAAGGGGCCAGAATGTTCAATCCTTGACGCTTTATATCTCAAAAGTGAAAAATATTTTGATAAGTAATATTGAACAAAAGATGTTCAAAAATAATGTTCTTAACAATATGCAACCTTTCAATGTTCGCTAAATGTCCCCATTAAGGAGTTGAAGGGTTGTCCCCTAAATATTTCTTTTGCAAATAACTCGAAAACGAAAAAGAATCTCTGAATAGTTGTTGAACAAAAAGTGTTTCAAATCATAAGGGCTTCAAGGTATAATCAAGAAAACGGGGCTGGGCACTCAAATTAAGGGCAGAAGGGGCCAAAAGTCTTCAATCGATAACTCTTTAGCAGTCAATATTTTGTTATGCATCACTGAAGCAAAAATGTTTTTCTCAACAATTTACAACTGTATATTATGAGTTAAATGTCGTATGGTACATAATAAGGGGCCAAAATGCTAAATCTTTGATGTTTTATATATCAAAAGTGGGAAATATTTTGATAAGTAATATTCAACAAAAGATGTTCAAAATAATCTTCTAAACAATATGTAACCTTTCATTTTTCGCTAAACGTCCCCATAAAGGAGTTGAAGGGTTGCCCCTAAATATTTCTTTTGCAAATAACTCGAAAATGAAAGAGAATCTCTGAATAGTTGTTGAACAAAATGTGTTCAAAATTCTGAGAGCTTTAAGATAAAATCAAGGAAAAGGGGCTGGACTCTCAAATTAAGGGCCGAGAGGGGCCAAAAGTCTTCAATCAATAACTCTTTAGCAGTCAGTATTGTGTTATACATTACGAAAGCAAAAATGTTTATCTCAACAATCTACAACTATATATTATGATTTGAATGTCGTGTGGTATATAATAAGTGGCCTCAATGGGCCAGAATGCTAAATCTTTGATGTTTTATATATCAAAAGTGGGAAATATTTTGATAAGTAATATTCAACAAAAGATGTTCAAAATAATCTTCTAAACAATATGTAACCTTTCATTTTTCGCTAAACGTCCCCATAAAGTAGTTGAAGGGTTGCCCCTAAATATTTCTTTTGCAAATAACTCGAAAATGAAAGAGAATCTCTGAATAGTTGTTGAACAAAATGTGTTCAAAATTTTGAGAGCTTTAAGATAAAATCAAGGAAAAGGGGCTGGACTCTCAAATTAAGGGCCGAGAGGGGCCAAAAGTCTTCAATCAATAACTCTTTAGCAGTCAGTATTGTGTTATACATTACGAAAGCAAAAATGTTTATCTCAACAATCTACAACTATATATTATGATTTGAATGTCGTGTGGTATATAATAAGTGGCCTCAATGGGCCAGAATGCTAAATCTTTGATGTTTTATATATCAAAAGTGGGAAATATTTTGATAAGTAATATTCAACAAAAGATGTTCAAAATAATGTTCTAAACAATATGCAACCTTTCATTTTTCGCTAAACTTCCCCATTAAGTAGTTGAAGGGTTGGCCCCTAAATATTTCTTTTGCGAATAACTCGAAAACGAAAAAGAATCTTTTAATAGTTGTTGAACACAAAGTGATCAAAATCCTTAGAGCTTTAAGATGAGATGAAGATAAAAGGGCTGATCCCTTATATTAAGGGCCCTGAGGG